TTATGGATGGCCTGCAATGCAAATAATTGAATGGTCAAATAAAAAAGAAAAAGCATTACCACATCAAGAAGATAAATTGTATAATGCTATTCGACAACTCAGAGGATTTAATTTAAAAACAGTATTAAAAGAAGTAGAAAAGGAAATTGAATTAAAAGTCCAAGACCTTTATGATTCGCCTGATAATATTATAACATTGAAACATGCTGCAAAACAAGAATTAAAAGAGTTTCAAACTGATCGACAAGTAGAAGATCATATTGTAATTAATTGTGATAGAATAGAATATGTTACTGTGCCGGCTCAAACTGAAGTACGAACATCAATTGCTGTAAAACTGGTGCATTTCAGTGGACACATCGTGGGTGATGATCCTGGTAGCCAAGCTTTCATGAATTTCTTTGGTCCAATCGGTGGTATATTAGGCTCTAACTATATTGTTTCGGCAATGAAGGGTAGAGACTATTACACAGAAACTGAAGACCTACAATTTGACCATAAAGTTACAAGTATTACATTCGACAAAACTCCTGCTGATATTCGTCTTCTTGATCGGTTGGATTATACCATAGATTCAACAGATCCACGTCGGGTAAAAGTTTTTGCATATCTTTCGTGGGGTGGATCTCCAGTTGTGAGCTGGGACTTCCATATGGGAGTGACTGCAACACTTGAACAAACTGTCGTCACAAGAGAGGAATACAAAGATAAAGTTGTTATTCCACAACAACGAATTGAAAAAATTATAAAAACTGTTACCGATACGGAACAAAGATTAGTTACAGTAAAAGAAGCATATGAAGAAAAGATACATAAACGTACAAAAGAAGAAATTAAAAAATTATTAATTCAAGAACGTATCAACGAATTATCATAAAAAAAATCTTTTTTCTATGTTTTGAAAAATCTATCTTTTTTTGTGATAATTAAATAAACAAGAATAAAATATAAAAAAGGATAAGATTCAAATGATATTTGTCTTTTGATTTGACGTTAATATTTATTATTTAAATTCTATACAGAGCTTTAATATAGTCCTACACAAAGAATCAATTATATTCTCACTCACTTTACATCATCGTTTCATTAACAAATATTTCTATAATCAAAAAAGACTAAATAAATCAGTGGTTCGAATTAAAATTAAGTGTGGTCAAAATATAGTAGATTCACATTTAATAAAGAATTGATAAAATAAAATAATGCAAAAGATAAAAGATTTAATTTATGTTAATAAACAAATACATATGAGATTATAATATAACTTCATATTTACTGACAGGTTGGTTATACCTACCTTTGTATCACCAGTGGCAGAATTCAAGGATTTTGATAAACTACTAAGTAACGATACTATGTTTATGCGGTTCATGATATACAGTTATCACTGCAACAAAATCCCCCTGCAGTTAAATCAAAATTCTCCTTAGAATTTTGTTTTTTTAATAGAATTTTATCAGAATTCTGTTTCGTCACACCCACTCATCTATCTCAACCATACATTTATCCCTGTAGTTCGATCAAAATTCTGCTACGAATCCAGTTCTCCAAGCAGAGTTTAGTCAGAATGCTGAGTTATAGCATAATTGTAATTCATCATATACACATTATCTCTGCATCAAAATTGAAATTCTGGTTAGAATTTTGGTTTGCCAGCAGGAATTTGTCAGAATTCTGATTCACAATGTGTATATGATGAAGGAAGAGTTCGGTAGAGAATTAGAATTCTGACTAAATTTTGATGGAAAAACAAAATTCTGAGCGGAATGAAGATTTACTGTAGGACAGAAGGTGAATGTAGACAAGGATAAGTTTGTTTAGAAGATATAATTCTTGCATTTAGTCGCCCTTCTCTGCGTCAACTAAATTTTCTCTCATGATAACAATGGTTTAGGCCGAGATATTTCAAAGATAAATAACGTAACTTAAAGTACAATCAAGTATCAAATTAGATGCAAAGAAATAATTAATATAGAAATATATCGAATAGTGAGGATAGAATCTATAACTTGTTTGGTATGCAATTTTATTATAATAGACGTAATCGACTATTGATAAATCCTGCTTTGATTTATTGGTTTTATGGCAGGCGAAATAATTAGCATTATAAATAATTATCAGTAACAATTCATAACGGAAAGTGTCAAGTACCTCAGTAAGCACTAAAATATGGACAAAAGTAATTTTTCATGTGCAACTTAGTGTGCTCTATCATCTAGAAATATCAGAAAATCATTTTAGAGAAAAACATGTTTTTGATGGAAAACTGATTTTCTAGAAAAGCAAGGTCTTCGAGGCGCCATTAGTCGTAACGACCATGATATTTGGATTCAGCATGATCGATTGTCTATAGTCATCTATGTTTGAATCCAAAAGCGACTTTCAAGTTGGTGACCTTTTCTGGTAAGTTTTTTGCAAATATTTTATTGAGACTTTTCACAGATTTATCTTTGTTCGGCCATGTATTTAATAAACTTAAATATTTGATTTGTTTACTCAACAATAAATATACTTGTCGATTTGTTAATTTCTTTGTTATATCTTCAAGTATATGCCAAGATAATTCCAATAATTGAAGTTATGTACAATGTACTAATATATATGAGAAAATTCTTCTGTAAATATAGTATTATTTTGTTCAATATTTACATGTTTATTTTGTAATTGATTAATGAAATTATCAAGTGAAATTAATTTGTATTAATTACGAATAGTTAATGAATTAAGATTAGAAAAATAATAACGTTTTGTCAAATTCGAATTGTAAAACAAAATCAATGGAAAAATATAAATTTTTTATTGTGCAATAATCGATTTTGAAAACCTTTTTTTCTGCTTGTGTTGATGAACATAAACACAATTGTTGGTCACTGTACGACAATCTATACAAATGAACATTGTGCACGATACGATAACCACTACTTGGAAGGATATAATGATCGCAATTAGTTATCCACTGATTTTCTTTTAACCAAAATGGAATTTGAACTGTTGCTAATACGTGTTTTATATTGATATTTTCTAAATTGGGATGAATTTTAAAATTATATTTTTTTAATTGTCGTAAATATGTTCAAATAAGTTGTTCCCATCGATCACTATGAATAGATCTAGATCCTTTTACTACAGTGAATGTAAATTTTTTAATTTCAGCATGCAAATAAGCAACCGTTCTATATCATGAAATGATATATTCGATTTTGTCGATCAGTTTTATTTTTAATTAACGAATTTCTATTTTTACTATTGTTAAAAGATGAACATTGCTGACCGCGATAGTATCCGCATATAATTGAACATCTAGACTAATCTTGAGGGTGAGTATGAGTGTAAATATTGAGTTAACCACTCACACCCACACCATATCAGAAAGTAATTCAATGGTCTTACGTCGTAATGTATCAGTTAAATAAATATTATTCATTAAAGATCGTAAAGAGATTATTCCTCCATATTCCACAACAACAATTTCTGTTTATATCACTAGATTTTCGATTTCTCGAAAAGAAATTCATAAAACAATCGAACAATGACTTCTTTCTATCTGAAATTTTAGCCATAGAGATGTTTTGGTAGTTACTAGAATGTTCTACAATTTTTATCTGAAGTCAACACTTATTATTTGTCATTCATTAGATGGATAAAAGACCATAATGTGTCATAGAAAAATCAAGAGATTTAAAAATCATTATTTAATTTTTTCACGAATACCTTTTCTGAAATTGAGTTCAACAGTCTATGAGCATAGAATTTTTCAGATTTCCACTATTAACACCAAGTTTCGTTTGTAACCAAAATATGAAATCTCAGTCAAGAAGCACTTTGGGTATTTGCCTCGTTTGTATAATGTAAATAAAAGGAATATCTACAGTTTCATATGCAATTTTCTGTTCAAACAACATATTCTATATAACAGTGCATTATATGCAGCAGGAATACTCAACAACAACAACTATTCTTTTCATTAATATGCCTTTTAAAACCCAGATGTGTTCAGAATTATTTTAGAAAATTTTTACTCAAATTGAATAGAGGCACAAACAAATTTACTTAATTCATTTCTCGTCTACATATCGGCTAAATCTTTTTTTTAAGTAAAGAACTTAGCGATATTTGTTGCACAAAAGAAAAGAAAGTATAACTTTTTATAGTATTAAATACACAACCTCCTTTAGACATATTATATTATGTATTCAACAATGAATAAGAGTAAAAACTACTTCTGATCATTTCTTTACTCATCTTCATTTCATATCAAAGATCCACAAAGTTAAATGAAAACAACTCAAAATGAAATAATATCAATGGATTAGACATCTTATAATTAATTACAATATAAATATCTTTTATTTATTTGAGAATTTGACATTAAATATTCAGATCATTTCAATTTAATAAATTTGACAAATCAATATGAAAACATTTTGAGTTCAAATAAATAAATATATATATAATTTTTTTATTTGTGATACCATCAAACGGAGAAAGAGAAAAAAATAAAAAAAAAAATAAAAGAGAAATAATAAGAATAAGAGATAAATAAATCGAAGGCGTGAGTGTTGTGTTTCCCACATCCGCACTCACCCACGTGAATGTAAAATACGTGAACCACTCGAAATACATGCAGAACCACTTGCACCTTTTTTATTTAAAAATAAGAAAATACTAGTGCGAAAGAAGGTAATTAAATTAGATTTAACTATCATAGATTAGTGTATTTATTTCTTATAAACAAAAACTATATAAATACATAAAGAACAATCAACATTTGTTGAGGTTGTTGTTAATGGAAATCCATTTCCTAACGTAATATGGTATAAAGAGAAAATTGAAATAGCTGAGAGTGTTAAGGTTAAAACAGAAGTTGATATAATAACAGGTACTGCTGGTCTATTAATACCGCCATGTCGTCAAACGAATGACTCATCTTATGCTATTACATTACAAAACGAACATGAGAAGGTTTGTACAGATTTTCATATTTATATTAAAGGTACACAAACAAATAATCTATCAGATTAGAATGAAATATTCAATTATTTTTAAATATATATATATATATAGCAGCAAAAGATGATGAACTAGATTATCTTGAATTACTTAAACATCGCGAAGAATAGAAGAGAAAAATTATAGAAGAAGAAAGAGAACAAATAAATCTAAGTATTAGCTCGTTCGACGAGCTTAATGTTTATTTATTTTAAATGAAAAATAGAAATAATATATATATCCCGTTCCATGTCCTGAGCGTGGACATGCATACATATATAACGACGTGGAAGAAGGATAACATTAGAATAGAATGTACAGAAAAAAACAGAGATACACAAAGAGATATACCAAGACATATATATGTTAAGATAAGCATCGAGGGATGACCGTGAACAAAATGAATCTATTTATTATAGAAAAATATATAGTTATATTATAGAATAGATATAGATGTAGATTAGAATACTTTTGTATAACTAATTTAGCTATGAACTGATTTTATTTTAGCTCTACAAATTCATACTGATCAATCAGAAGAAGTAACAGATTCATCAATAAAATATTTTTATTAAAAAAACTTAGGTAGAGAGATTTCTTCGACCAAAAATAAAATAGAATCTAATCATTTTGTTGTGATCTTTAAAATAATATCAGAATTAGAATGTATCTTTTTTTGATTTTTATGTATTGTTATGAATATCTATATCTCAGGCAGGTAGCGGCGGTGATGATAATAGATCTGGTTCACGTAATTCGATTATAATTGATGATCGACAACCATCACTTCGTCGTGTTGATCAAGAAAATTTACTTAAAGTTGGACGAGATTCCAAAACACGTCGACCATCATTAGCTGATGTTATATCAAATTGACCAGCTTTAAATAAAGTTAAACGATCAGAAAAGGTGAACCATATTTATACACATCATGGAATCATATATATATATATACCAATATTTATAGTACTGTTTTTGAATCGCCACAGATCACTATATATATATACATACATTATTCGATTTTTATTTATTTTAATGCATGAATTTTTGTCAATACATTTGTTTAGATTTGATAAATGCATAAGCATGATATATATACATATAAAAATACCTAATACATTGAGTATTTACTATAATTAGGAAAAAGAAGTATTTGTTGAACCATTACAAGATATTAAATGTAAAGAAGAAGATGGATAAATTACATTTCAATGTTCGTTTTGTAAACCGAGTACACGTATACGATGGTAGATTCGAATAAGATTAGATTTTGTTGCAATAGAAAATTCAATGATTTTTATTCAAGATTTAAAAATAAAGTTGAAATTCTTTATGGTTTAAAATATCATTTTGATTCAAGTGGAGAAAAGTGAGTTACAAGAATTCTATTTTTTATTCTCTATATCAATATTTTATTCAGATAAAAATTAACTATTCATAAATTACATTCTGATGATTCAGGAAAATATTGTTGTCGTGTGAATCATATTAAAACATCTGCATGGTAAGAAGTAAAACGTATGTATTTAAGAATGATATTATAAAAAAATATGAATTTTGTCTTTTTTCATTTAGTTGCTAAACCATTGTATGATTTTTATAAAGAATTACCTGCTAGAATGAAAGTATTTTGAACAAAACCAACTCTACTTAAATGTCATGTTAATGATCCAAATGTACGTGTTAAATGTTATAAAAATGGAATTCTTATTGATGTAAGTGTACACTTTGGGAATTGTAATTACATGAAAATATACAGCAAAACTAGAGTAAATTCCTGCTTGTTCAGTAGTAGATTTAATGTGAGATATTCCTAAATTCTTTAAGATTTCGTTGATGACTTTCAACAAAAGATTAAAGTATCGAAATCATTCAATACGCATTGATCAAAAACCATACGTAGAAAATTTAATTTAGTGTATCATTGCTGTATTAATTAAGAAGGTAACATGATTAATCAAAGGACTTGTAGGTATTGGTTTAATTTCAGACTTTATCTGTATATTCCGTTTGAAACTGAAAAATGTCTTCACTTGATTTGGTTTCAACGAAGTATTTGTAAACATTATAAAGTCTAAAAGAAAAACAAATCTAACTCGTAACAACTCTTCATGAGTAAGTTTAAGAATAACACGACGAAACCTATCGTAGGTACATTCAAATCTTATACAAGTCATCTGCAAAGTATTTGTTATGGAATATTCCCTACAACATTCCATAAGGAATTGTACTATATGTTTTATTTCGTTCTTTACATATATATTTTTTCTTGCGTTCTGTTAAGTATGACCTCGATAAGTTCTTTTGATTTTTCCTAGCGGTATCTCTTATATATGTAATACAGGTATTTTTCTATGATATAACTATGGGAAATATCCATGTAGTCTATAATATATATAGAGATCAAATATCTATGTAAAGTGTGTGTTTTTAAGTGAGATTAGATGGTATCGTTGGCTATTATAAATAAATATTATTAACAAGCTATATACGGATCTGACAATATTATTATTTGATTACTTGGATGTACTAATTTCTACTAGTAAATCAAAAAATATCACTTAATTTCTTTTTTTTTATATATTTGGATCGAAAAAGATAGACGTACGAAATATTATCAAGATATGACACGATGTATATTTCGTATATTTAAAACAACTATAGCTGTTGAAAGCTAGAAATGAATTTCATTTATTTATCTGTTGATTTCTTATAGGAGATTGTACGTACATGTCAAATTGATAATGAACGAGGTATTAAAACCATTGGTTCACTTTATGTCGAAGATAATTCAATATAGAAAAATTAAAATAATATTTACAAAGTATTTTTCTAGAATTACAACGGCGTTTCGAAACAAAATTACCTGCAACATTAGAAGGTGATGAAATTGACAAAATTGAACTTGAACGTAGTATTCAAGATGTAGATGCTGAATGTGATTGATATTTTGAGAATGAAGCAAGTGTAAAATATTATTTATCAACAAAACTATATATTTTTAATTGTTTATTTATCATAGAAAATTCTTCGGGAATTCTATCCTGATAGAAATGAAATAATATTATATTGGAAAAGTTCGTAAATTAGTTATTAATAAACGAAGTCCAAACGAAGATAAAGGAAGATGTAAATACAAAGCAGGTAATATGACAACACATTGTGATGTATCTATCAAACGTATGATAGCTATTTGTTTTTATTGAAGTTTTGTTTTTAAAAAAATTCTATTTAGGTGCACTTCGAATTGAAAAAGGCTGAGAAGATGTTGATGCATTGGAAGAAGAGGAAGGTCTTACACTTGACGTTACATTATCTAAATCAAATCCACGAGCAAAATGGGTAAAAGATGGAAAAGTTCTTTGTCCAGATCAAAAGTAAAATATAATCATATACTCCATTCGATTCTTTTTATTATTATTATTATTTAGAATGGTTATCCTTAATGAAGGAAATGTTTATAAATTAAAATTAAAAAGTATTGGTCTTAAAGATGCTGGAAAAATTGCATTTCAATGTGGTGATTTGAAAGATAGTTATAAAATAACTGTTAAAGAATATATGAAAATCTTTTGGTTTTTATATTCGAAATAATTAATCAATAAAACTTATTTAGCTGAAAAACTATCATGTATTGATACAACATGTTTTGGTGAATTTATTACAATTAAAGCCGGATGACCACTTAATCTTGAAATTCCTTGTGATGCTTATCCAGCACCAGCAATGATTTAGATAAAAGATGCAGAATTTGTTCAACCAACGCGAGAGTTTGTTTTATAAATAATTTTTTTTCCGTTTAGTACTCAAATTGAAAGTGATGATAAACATGCTAAATTACATAAACCATCAGCGAAAGGAGGAGATACAGGAAAATATAAAATTCAATTAAAAAAATGATTCTGGTGAAGACGAATGTGATATTGATGTTATTGTATTAGATAATCGTGGAGTACCTGAAGGTCCATTACAAACAACAGATACAAAAAGAGATAGTGTTTCACTTCAGTGGAAACCACCAAAAGAAAATGGTGGTAGTGATGTTACAGGTATAATAAAAGAATTTAGAAAAAAAGACAATAGAATATATTTCTTTTTTAGATTATGTTATTGAAAAATGTGCAGAAAATTTTGATCGACGGGAAAAAAGTTCCTGGTGTATTTACACAACCAAAAGGAACTATTAAAGATTTAGAAATAAATAAGTAATTTAAATTTCGAGTTAAAGCTGAAAATATTTATGGTATTGGTGAACCATTAGAAACAACATCCGCTATAACTGTTAAACCACCATATGGTTAAAAAAAGCAATCAATATTTCTCATTTTGAATGAATGTTTTTGTGTTGTTTTAGATGCACCTGATGCACCAGGTACACCTGAATGTATAGGACATACAAGTGAATCAATAACATTACAATGGACACGATCACAAATTGATGGTGGAAATCCAATTCGAGGTTATTTGATTGAAAAGAAAGAAAAAGGAACTGATCGATGGATTCTGTAAGAGAAATAATTTATTAAATTTCAATTAGCTTTTGAAATTGAATTTAAATTTTAGTGTTAATCGTGAACCAGTTGCAGGTGCTGAATATACTGTTTCTGGTCTTGCTGATGGCAAAGAATATGAATTTCGTGTTGCTGCCGTTAATAGAGCAGATCCAGGAGAATATGGTAAATATTTGAATTTGTTTTTGTTGCTATTATTTTTAATTCATATTCTGTTTTTAGCTAAAACTGAAGGACCAAATCAAGCACGTCCACCTGATGTTGCTCCACATGATATTGATTTCAGTGCATTTAGTCCAAAAGAAATCATTGTTCGTGCTGCAGAAGATTTTAAAATAACTGTACCATTTGTTGGTGTACCTGCACCACAAGTTACATTTACTCAAAATGGCAATAAGATTAAACCTGACGGCAACAATCAAGTAACTGTTAAAGATGGTATTGCTGAACTTATTGTATCAAAAGTAAAAGGTGGTGATACTGGATTATATTCATGTACTTTGAAAAATTATCTTGGACAAGAAACTGCTCAGATGAAAGTTATTGTTGTTGATAAACTAGGTTAGTTTCTTTTGTCGAAAATTAAATTCTAATATTTTATTTAGATTTTAGATACACCCGAAGGACCATTGAATATTTCTAATGTAAAACCTGATTCATGTTTATTGACATGGAAACCATCAAAACCTGATGGTGGTTCACCAATTACTAATTATACTATTGAAAAATTTGATACGAAAAAAGGTGAATGGCAAAAAGTATCAAGTTTTTGTCGTTCACTATTTTATAAAGTAACTGGACTTAATGAAGATATGGAACCTAAAACGGATTCGAACAACTTTCTGAAATACTTTGCAGGTTTCGTGCATTTATACGAAACCCTAAAAGATCCTCCAATGAGTACAGGTATGATAATAAACCTATTTTTTAGTGTACCTTTAGTACCATATTCTTTTGACAAAAGAATGAAAGTTTCGAACCCGAAATTTCTAACAATAGGTGTATCGTGTATGTAAAAGTTTCAAGGGAGTTCGAACTCAAGAAGTTGCATAACATGATCACTATAGAACTTTAGAATTCAAACAGTATCAAATGAGAAAATATAAAAGAAACACTCACAAAGAAGTAAAATATCGCACGATCAGAGCCACGCTATGTGAATTAAAGAATCTTTTTCTTGGCATATTTTTTTTCAATTTACCATGCTACAGGGTGAGAGTGGGTGTGGATATCCCTTCTTCTGTCACGTCGACGCATGCACTTACCGAAACCCTTACCTCCACTGTCACACACCTCACCGATGCCACATCCACATTCAAACCTTACTAATTCTGCTTCCAAAACTAATTGTTACTAAACAAATGTATTTTCGTTTCAGATACTCTAGTCATCGCATATTTATTTTATTAAAAATGTTTCCGTTTTTGCTCAACGCTGTTAGCATTATCGGTGGAGCTATTGTTGGGTGGAAAATTGTTAGAACAGCCGATAATACTCGACGTGACGCAACTCCTGTTGGTCATAAATTAGCAAACGCAGCCGATGACTACATGGGTCATCCTGTTGAGAATGCTAATCTAATAACTTATGTTTCCGTTTGGCTTTTTATGACGTTAACTAATCGTCTCAATATTATTATGTGTATCTTGGCAGCTACTGCCTTTGGTTTTGTGGCCATGCGTACACCTAGCTTTCTTTCGTATTTAACTGATTTCTCGTCATATCTTCGAGCGATTTTCTGGTTCCTGTTCACTGCACTGTGCTTTTTTATGGTTCGTAATTATAATCAACATTCAAGGAGCTGTGAGAATATGATTAAAGGTGAGACAAATATAAAGGATGGATTCAATACGCACACCCACACCCCCAAAAAACTCTAAATAAAATATTGAAATGTTTTTCTTTGTCGTAATGATAGATTCAGCTGCAAATCGTAAACGAAGTTCAGGTAAAGATGATGATGATGCACCAAGACGAAAACGATGTATACCAAAATTAGATAATTATGATCGATGCTGTAAGTAAAGTATTTCGTGAAGTGAATGTGAAAATAAAAGTAGCAATAGAGATGAATAGAATTCATGGATGAGTATTGGTTACTTCTATAGTCTTATTTAGTGTTGAATCGGTTTGACACATTTGATCAGATATTCTATTACTAAGTTACAGCTGAAATCGAGATCTACAACTTGGCAATGAAATACTCGATCAAATATGGCAAACTGTTAAAAAAATCTATAAAAGTAAATATGCCATCTTTATTAAAACTATTCGAAATCTAATTGATACAAACGCGGTTTTCATTGAGCATAAGAAATGAAAGAATAGTATATACTCAAAATATTTATTTTAATTTCTATCTAGTTTGGGATATCTGAAGCAAAGGTCGTTACCCAGAACGAGCTACACTTAAACATGGAAGTATCTATGATTATTATCACATCATTGAGGAAACTGGACGGTAAATAAGGTTGTGTGAGTGACTGTGAATGGAAATGCTGGAAGAATAACACATCTCTACGCACATCTACCATAATTATTAAGAATTAATTAATATTAATTAGTTATTCATAATCAATTTACATTAATCGATTAATAACACACAGTTCACGCTGGTTAATTTATATTAATTAATAATGCCTGCTACGGTCTATGATAGATGTGGGTGTGATATTTATGTATTACACTCACAAAGATCCACACCGACATCCACTCACATTCGTACCCACACCTTCCTCTTTCGATTCGCTGTTAGAGATATCCTAGACAGGATAATCAGCTATCGTATATAAAACGTGTATTTTTCTACGAATAAACAGAGGTATATGATTCTCATCTTCACACTTTGATGCGCACATCTCCTATCTATTCATTCACTACTTCATTTTCTAGTTATAATCAACCAATCGAATGTTTTCAACC